GCTCATCTACCTTGGTCTCAAGGGACACCGACTATTAAACTGTCTCAAAACTGGCATCCTGAAGCACTGTCACCACACAGCTGCTGAGATGGCTGCGCTACCCAACAAAAAAAGTCTGCTCTCTTCAGGGCTGCAACTAAAATAGCACGCAGGGAGCACCACATTAGTCAGCCAATCTGCAGAAGATAGGCTCAACTTACAATGGTAACAACATCCAGTCCAAATGGCAGGTCTGCAACTTCGCCACTGGCTCCAAGAAATAATCTACGAGGTCCTGCATCCCCCTGCCATTATCATCTCACTTGGCAGGAAATCACATAACTGTGCTCATAAAATCACCAACAGCCACTACCTGTGAAAGGCAGAGATCACAGCTTGCCTTTTAGTGAAGCTTGGGGAGATACAACAGGAGCTGCTTCTTGTTCAAAGAGCAATTTTAGAAAGAAACTGACAGACACCAGGGAACAGCACAAGTCATTTCTTCACGTAAAACCTTCACTTGCAACTGACTCCAACCCTTGTCCTCATTAACTGCCACCTCTGCTGGCATCTGAACAAGGTGAAAATAGCAGGAAGAGCTTCCAAGATCCCTTCTGGCACAGCTTAAGGCCATTTCACACAACGTGGCTAACTCCTGTATGCTTCACTCATACTCATGCTTTGCTGTCTTCTTGTTTCAGTTGGCAAAGCAGAGTTGAGACCACGTCCTATAAAATAACATCCCCAAGACCAGAAACGATAACATCCTCACCATCAGTCTCATAGAAATGTGCTGTGGAGAAAGCTTTGTGCAAAGCTACCATGAACGCAGGAGCTGGTGAGACATCTGGGACTTGGGCTGCCGATGGCCCTCAGCAAAGAAACATGGAGGAACTTGCTCTTTTCTTCTGGAGGAGCCCATCTAGCACAAAGGAGACACCAACGACTGCGATGCTGTTGGAACAAGCAATGGCGCATATCTGCCACGTGCATTATCTCCTCTCCGAAAGCAAAGCATGGAAGCACAAATCCCATAAAAATTAAGTGTTGCACACGAAGTAAAAAGGAAACTGGAGAGACATGCATGCTCGCTCCTCTCCGGCTCAGCTGTGCTCCCTCAGCTGCCTGGGGAGTTTGTCACCTGCACACGAATCACCCAGAAGAGACTCTGCCCAGCACTGGCTTCAGAATACAGGAAAAAAGGAAGCTGGAAGCTGAAAACTCCCCCTGAACTAACACTGGTCTGACCCTCAACTGGGCATTGCCTGGGCACTGCCAAGGGCAATCTGGTGCGTTCCTTCAGTATTTTCCAATTTAAATATCCACATAGGAAAGGGCAGGATGGGAGAAGTGTCCCGTTTCCTCACCTCAGAGCGCTCCTTCCATCACTAATGCTGAAACCCTCTCTGAAAGAGATCAATGCTGCCTGGGAGCACCGAGGTGAAAGTGCAATAGAATATCATAGAATCATAGAACAATTCAGGCTGGAAAAGACCCTTGGGATCATCAAGTCCAACCATTGACCCTACACTACAAGGTCACCCCTAAACCGTATCACTCAACACCCCATCTAAACGACACTTGAACATCCAGGGATGGCGACTCAGCCACCTCCCTAGGCAGTCTATTCCAGTGTCTCACCACTCCTTCCATGAAGAATTTCTTCCTAATGTCCAGCCTAAACTTGCCCTGTTGCAACTTGCAACCATTTCTCCTGGTTCTGTCCCTAATTACCTGTGAGAAGAGACCAGCACCAACCTCTCTACAATGTCCTGTCAAGTAATTGCAGAGCATGATGAGATCCCCCCTCAGATATTTATCTTCACAACCAAGTTAAGCATGTAGCCCATTTTCAACATGAGCCTACTCTAGAAAGAACAATTTGTTCTTTAATCAGAGCAACAAAGGCAGGTTCCCAGACTCCAGGTGTTTGAAATACACTCGGATTGGTCCAGATATTTGCTGACGAAAAATGAAAAGCTTTGAAGCTCTTGAATCTAGCGACCAAAGCTGAGCTGAGTGAGGACAGAGGCCAGGCTCACACGCTGGCTGCCGCACACTGAGCCGCCATCTCCCTCACGGGAATTTACAACTCTTCTATCAAATGTTCTCAAAGGTGCTTTCCTCTTCCTCCCTTCTGTAATCCTCCAGAACAAACAGGGTCAGAATTATTTTTTTTCCTCCAAACCAGTTCTAAATACTAAAACCAGTATTTAAAAAACCCAACAATCTATCTCATGTGTTAGGAGTTTAAGAGAAGCGTGGATGTTGCATTGGGAGAAATCATTTAGCAGTTTGATAGGGCTGGGACAAAGGCTGGACTCGATCTTCTAGGTCTCTTCTAGCTGATACAATTCTATGATTCTACGTAATTATAATTTCTAATTGTCACAAATATGACAAGATCAACCTTATTTGCAATAGAAATATATCCCATCTCGAAGGTATCAAAGGTTATGCCAAGCGCTGAAAACCTTTACTCTCCACAGTTCTAGAGAAAGAAACCTCAAATTCCCCCTTCAGAATGATCAGCTGACTTGGGACTTCAGAACAAGTCAAATACTAAGATTTGACTTTCCTGTAGGATTTCAATTTGTTGAGGTAAATTCGTAATGTCTCCTAAAAATGGAGTAAGATGAATTACATCACTGTGAGTAGCAGACTATCTAGAACTAAATGTAGAGTATAATTTAGTTTTATTATAGTTGATTGATAAGCTGCGTCTTCATCTCAAATTCCTTGTCAATGGGAAAATTAAATTCAAGTGAAAACTAATGGCAAAAGGCGTTCTTGTCGTTTGAAGCATTTCCCTTTGCAAAAATGAAATTAAAGCCAGCCTGCTACTTTTAAACAAAACACTGGAGACATCACAATATAGTGACATCAAATAAGGCTTGAATTAATATGAAAAATATTAACATTATGCATTAATATGAATATATATCAATAAGCAAAAAATAGTACTTTAGCCAAAGAAAAGTTATTCTTGTTGCCATTTCAGTACCTGGAAAAAGTCTACAGATACTAAACAGGCAGCTTTAAAGCCTATATATAAATTAAGGAAAAGACCAAAAAAAGAGGCTTTAATTTGAAAAACAAATCAAAAGAAGTTTAAGGCACTCCCACCTATATATTTATTTTTATTCCAGAAACCGAGGAAAGACAGATTTTGACAACACTTACATCAAAATGAAGAGCGTATCACACAGTATTACTAAAGCAGTATAAACTGCACTCCGATGTTTTTCTTTAGTTTTAAGTCTCCTGAACACCTAAATCTCTACTACCTTCAGGTAATTTCATGTTCACTTCAAATACCGTTTGCATTTTGTCTGGCTTTTTTTTTCTTTTGCCACCCCCATCCCCTTCTGGCAAAAGCTCCCTGCACTTGAAAGGATCGTACTAGTTGATATTCACTCTACGTGAAGCATTTGCACATATTTATGTCACAAAATCACGGAACGGTATCAGATACCAAGATAGGAATGAGCTACAGAAACCTTAGAAGAAAAGACAGGAACATATCTAGATTTTGTGGATGAAAAGGAGCTCCCTGCTCTATGACACACAGCCAGTAAGAACCCATGTTCACTGTATCTCCAGCTGATCAGCTACAGCAACGCAACTAGGGTAATGACATTTTGAGAATGCTATTTAAAAAAAAAAAAAGTAAAAAAAGCCTGTTAATGGAAGCCTGTCCCCCTGCAAGAAAAATTTCTGCCAGATGCTGTTTCTCAGGACTCAATCAGATATAGGTGTATGATAGGGGGAGTGGTGTGTTGTTGATAAAAAGGAATACAGGCAAAGGTCATATGCAGATTTATGAAAAATAAATTTATTACATAACACCTTGTTTTAACAATGTTTGATTTTTTTCTTTTATTCAGAATACTTGTGTCATTCATGTAAAATAGTTTGATACAGTACATTGTATGTAAGTTTTTCCTCATAAATTCTAAGGCTCTCCTAACACCTTGATCCTCTGCTGTAGGAATGGCACCCCTAAACAACGTGCGAACATTAAAAAAAAAAATTAACTGAATGAAATTTAAAATCCACTACACCAAGCTGGTTCTCAAAAATCATGACGAAATATATGAATGGATGCCGCACCTTTTTAGGAAATATCATTCATGCTTTTTTAATCTCAAAGCATGCTCACAAATCATTAACACCAACAGGAAAAAAATAAAACACTGTCTATGACAATCATTTTAGTTTGTTTGCTGAACCAAACATGTTTATATCAATGACAACATACTTATTTTACTATCAAATAGCAGCTTTAATACCAGTCAAGTCATAGATTTAAAAACAAAAACTTATGTTGGAAATTAATCTTTGGGACATTTGTATTTGCTGGAAAAAATGCAAATGTTTTCACGTTCTTAAAAAAAAAAATCTCATTGTAGCAATCGTGTTGGTCATAAAACATTGATCTAGGTGGAAAATGAACCAACCCACAAAAGTCACTAAAAATAAACGTCTATTAAAATTGTCTCAATCGGAGTCATGTTTAGTTTGCCTTTTTTTTTGCTATGGTAACATTTACTGTATGCTTCAAGTACCAGTTCAAAGATGTCGTGTAACTATTGGTCAGATAAAGTTGTTACATCAAGAGAATTCACCACATACGACAACAAAAATGCTTGCCCCTAGCACATTTCACAGCTTCAACTGCTACAGACTGTCACTGGAAAAAAAAATTAAAAGTAAAAAAAAAAAAAAGAAATAAAAATGCATCTGTCAGTCTGAACCATGTCAAGTAAACTATGGAAGTAGCATATCCACAACACAAACCGTGCTAGCACTTTCTTTTCAAGTCTAACCCCAAGAACCAGGTACAATTCAGGAGCCGCTGACTCCGCTCTGTGGAAGGTGGTGGATCGTGGCGGTCGGACAGGTCGGAGGTGTGGTTTTACAGTACATTCTGGCGGCCCAAGCCGGGTTTCCAGGCAGAGAGCTGCGCGGCCGGTCCTGCAGCATTAGCGACAGTGCATGGACGTTACTGGGGTGCAGCTTCAGTACCGGTGTGTCTGATGCGAGTACTGTGGCGGCTGCTGGGAGGTAGTTGAATACCCCATGCTGCTCTGTGGCTGGGATGTGCTTGGTCCGGGGTTGGGGTAGGCAGCATGGGGGTTGGAACGCTGCAGAGGGGCGAGAAGCAGAGGAAACGCGGTCCCTTTGTAAGCAGGTACATGGCAAGACAGTTTTCGCCTACCCACTTAGGTCTTCGACACGTACCGAGCGCACACGGTCTCAAGGCAGCTGCACTTCTGGGCTTCTTTATTTACTTGCTGTGCTTACAGCAGGTGCAGGTATGAACATCAGGAGTACCAGAGCAGAAAACTGACCGTTACCACCTTTCAGTTATCTGTCCTCACAAGCTCCTCTGAATCTACACCCATTGTAGCCAAATCCCCCCTCAACCCTCCGGATGGCTGCCATATACCTGCATGTCGCACAAGGCTACCGCTGCCCATGGCAGTGGTCTTCCCTGCTCGCTCGCTTCCCCTGACAGAGAGATACATTGGGGCAGAGGTCCAAAGGGTGCATCTTACTGCTGATGAGCCACTCTGCACTATTCCAGAGTTTTTACTGTACAAAGTATATGTCTGCCACCCCTTTTGCATGAGCTAGGAGTCCAGGCTGAGAGCACTGTGAATATCTAGGCTAAGGCATCATCCATCAGTAGCCTTACAAATACTTGAAGGAGAGTTAAAGACAACAGTCACACACTTCTCAGTGGAATCAGATATTTCAGGCACAAATGGCCACAGGTTGTGGCTTGGAAGGTTCAGCTTGGACATTAGAATGGAAAAAAAATGATCAAATAAAACCCCAAACCACCAAGAACTGGCACAGAGAGGCTGTGAAGTCTCCATCTACGGCGTTTTTTAAGACTCAGCCAACAAAGCCTCAGCTGACCTGATTTAGCATTAGCAACAGTGAGAGATTGAGCTAGATGGTCTCCGGAGGCCCTTTTCAGCCAGCACTTCTAACTAACTTAATTTCCTCCCACCATTCAGCATTTGGAGCAGAAGGTATAATCAGGATGCTGAGATGACGGCAGAAATGAAAAGGCAAACTCTACCTGTTAACGTATGCAGATAGGACTGAGCTAATTCTCTAGGGGCGTAGAGTGTGAAGGGGAAGAAATGGCCAGAGCGGTAAGGAACACCAGCGGGAACAAACCAGCGCTGCTGAAACGCGCCGCCGACACTGCCACCCCACAGTTGTGACATTTGCCTTCGGTCTTGAGATATGGACTAAGTCACCTGTCAACAGAAGTGTCACAGCTCTGGGTCACCCTTCTCTATGTAACAAACAAAGGATGTACTTCAGAGAGCAAAAATCCTCAAATATAATTTTTGCCCAAGCGTGGGTCCTCTCTGTAGGAAAATATCACAAGTTTAACCATTTAAAAGCTGACCATTCATGTCAGTTGTAAACACTTTCTGCACCCTAATTTCTAAAACAGATTTTATTTTAAGACGGAGGCAATTAAAAATCATCAGATTCTTTCACAACATCCGGCGCAGCAATTGGCTTTTGTTTAAGAACAAATGAAAATATTCAATCCTTCCTACATACCACTAAGCACCCAGAGGGTTATCACAAGCAAAAGCTCAAAGTAGTGGAATTGCTCCAGGCTGTTTCATCACGTTGCCTTCAGAAGTGTCACGTTGCAGATTTACACGAGAAGGCAAGGAAGTCTGTGTGCCATGTGTCTACTATTTTTATGCATGGCAGAAAAGGATACGAGGTCAACTTGCTCTGCAGAGAGTAATTTGACTTCTGAATGGACGAGGAAACTGTCTTAGTGTGCCTTGCCCAGGAGATGGCAATCCTCTTTCACAAGCTTTATATGGGGAATTTGAGCAAATTAAATGAAGAACAAAGGAACAGGTGTTTGATTAGAACAGAGGGCTGTATTGTAACATTTGTTTGCCGTCTCCTCAAATTGCAGGATCAGAAGCAAAAAACATGAGGAATTTTTATCAGGGAGACCTGAAACCACCAATAGGGGGCTTTAAACTGCTTTTGTTCAGGGCCAGCAAGTTCAGGTCTCCTCCCTTTGATTACCATGTTTTTCAGTCACCTTAATCAGAACAAAACTACCCACTGCCTTCTTGCAAGTCTGGGGACAAGAATTTATTTTTTAAAATTTTTTTTTGGAAAAACCGGGTAGTTTGCCTCCTAGAGAGACAGCAAAAACATCAGTCAGGAGAAGTCAAGTTACCAATAAGGGCTCCTGAGATAGAAATGTAGCAATTACCACTATCTCAAAGCAAAAGTATTCTGAAATTGTATTTGCTGACAAGGCCTGTCCCCAGCTATAATCCTGAGACGGTATCTGAGAGTACAAAAGTTTGATGAGCATGAGCAGAAAAGAAACCAATGTCAACTCCTGCCACAGCAATCTGAGTCTTCTGACTTCCCAACTAGAAAACACCTCAGCTCTTGCTCACAGAAGTAGAAGCAGAAGTTTCTTCAAAATGCCAAGCTGAGCAGCAAGATGAGGTGAAGGGCACGTAAATTGGGCATGTAAACTGCACGCCCTGACACGGTAAATCCAAACTCTGCTTTCAATCTCCTTAGATATGTGATTCAATATGAGGGGAAGGTTAGAAGAGTTATAGCTGCATCCACCTTCTTAAAAACACACAGAAGTTGCAGAAAGAGTCAGCTAAAAGGCCAAGACAGTGGTCGACTGCAGCTTGCCAAACTGAAAGGGATGAAGGTCCTGCAAGAGAGTGCTCTGTGCTGCATAATCCAACTAAAAGAAAGATGATGTTTGTACTTCAAGGCGTCCCACACTGCAGCACTGTAGTTAAGGCTGACTGCCGTTTCAAATTACTCCAAAAACTTACATCATTCAAGAAAAATGACTTGAAAACTGACATGCTATCAACGTCCTGGGATCAGCTGAGCAAAGGCACTTGAGTCCTGTATGAAGAACCTCACAATAAAGCTTCTGAAAATTATCTTATTTTACATTTTTAGTACTTTTAAGTTTTGGCCAATGCTGCAAGTACACTGATATATGTAAGGATGAGGGTAATGCCCCTAAGCAGTCTTTGAGGACATCTGGTATTTGCAGGAACAAACTCCAAAATGCAAGATTTCAAAGCCCATTGGTGTTCATGAAGAAATAGCATCAAACTGGGAAAAGCAAGTTGACAGCAGCTGTTTTACTGATGCTGTTTTACTGATGCTGTTTTGTTACAAAACATAAGGACAGCTAAGTGGGTTTCCAATATTAAGGTTTCAGATTTAGATCCTGATCTTTAATTTAAACTGAAAACACTGCCAGAAACTTTCTGACTTCCACATCTTTTGATTTCATCCTAGACACTCTTCCCACTGGCCTTCTGCACTATGCATTCCATGTGAACCAGTATGTAACAGTTCCTGAAGACTAACAATTTCCACTGGCATGCCTCCTCTTGAAATCTTCTATTTCCTAACTGCTCACTGCTTCAAATGTGTATCATTTGAAGTCTTCCATGTTCCTCTTCTGTAATTTCTAAGCTTGCTTCTGTCCGTAACAATCTTCTCCCCAGTCTCCAGGAATAACATCATCCAAACCCACAAACTGAGGATGCATAAATCCCTGGGATGACTCCCAGATATTCTTCTGCTCTAGACTCTTCTGATTTCCTAATGCCTGACCGCAAGCTCAAATGCAGGAAGGTTAAGGTCTGGAAAACATGCCCTATGAAGAGCGGCTGAGGGAACTGCGTTTGTTTAGTCTGGAGAAGAGGAGGCTGAGAGGAGACCTTATTGCCCTCTACAACTACCTCAAAGGAGGCTGTAGTGAGGCTGGTGCTGGTCTCTTCTCTCTAATTACTAATGACAGGACAAGGGGAAATGGCCTCAAGTTGCGTCAGGGTAAGTTTAGATTGGATATTCGGAGGAAGTTCTTTACTGAACGAGTGGTGAGGCACTGGAACGGGCTGCCCAGGGAGGTGGTGGAGTCACCAACCCTGGAGGTGTTTAAAAAAAAAGTAGATCTAGCACTTGAGGCTATGGTGTAGTGGTTAGGTATGCTGGGATGAAGGTTGGACTAGATGATCTTCAGAGGTCCCTTCCAACCCCTAACATTCTGTGATTCTGTTAGAACACAGTTTTCAAGTTTTCCTCAAGGCTTTTTCCTACAGTCCTTCTTCACCTATTGATCATCACCACCTCACCTATCTCTTCAGATGTATAATACTGGGCTTACTCAACCTGGAATCTCCTTTGGTCTTCAAAGCAGACATTATAAGAGCATCACAGAATCACAGAATGTCAGGGGTTGGAAGGGACCTCAGAAGATCATCTAGTCCAGCCCCCCTGCCAGAGCAGGATCACCTACAGTACGTCACACAGGAACGTGTCCAGGTGGGTTTTGAATGTCTCCAGAGAAGGAGACTCCACAATCTCCCTGGGCAGCCTGTGCCAGTGCTCTGTCACCCTCACAGGTTCTTCCTAATGTTTTTGTGGACCCTCCTATGTTCCAGTTTGCCCTATCATTCGACATCCCTGAGAATGGCCTGGCTCCATCCTGCTGACACTCACCCCTTACATATTTATAAACAGCCTTGTCTCCTCCAAGCTAAAGAGACCCAGCTCCTTCAGCCTTTCCTCATATGGGAGATGTTCCACTCCCTTCATCATCTTCATAGCTCTGCACTGGACTCTTTCAAGCAGTTCCCTGTCCTTCTTGAACTGAGGGGCCTAAAACTGTATTGTATTTTTAATTGCTACTACATATTTTCAGGAGGACCTCTCTCAACCTACTAGCTACTCCCCTTCTAATACACCCCAGGATGCCATTGGCCTTCTTGGCCACGAGGGCACTTTGCTGGCTCATGGTCACCCTGCTGTCCACCAGAACCCCCAGGTCCCTTTCCCCTACGCTGCCCTCCAACAGGTCAGTCCCCAACCTATACTGGCACATGGGGTTGTTCTTTCCCAAGTGCAAAACTCTACACTTGCCCTTTTGGAATTTCATAAGATTTCTCCCCGTCCAGCCCTCCAGCCTGCCTAGGTCTCTCTGAATGGCAGCACAGCCTTCTGGTGTGTCAACCACTCCTCCCAGTTTTGTGTCATCAGCAAACTTGCTAATGGTGCACTCTGTTCTCTCATCCAGGTCACTGATGACTGTAATAAACAGTACAGGTCCCGGTACTGACCGCTGAGGGATTCCACTAAATACACGCCTCCAACTAGACCCTGTCCAAGTCTTTCCGCTTGTCATCCAAAATACTGCCTTCCCATCCATCTGCCCAACTAAAACTCTTGCTCAGGTTCTTATTACTCAGCTTGTTTACTGCAATAGCTTTGCCTCCTGCCATTACAGGCCTATTCAAACAAAGAATGGCATTTTAGATGACAGAGACTGCAGCAGAGGTCCACAATCAGTATTGTGCTGACTGTTAGCATATTGCTAATCTAAAAAGCATCAGCTTATCAATTATTTGTTAACAAATCAAGCCCTTGTTAAACAAACCAACCATCTACCCAATGCACCTGAAAAAACATCCAAAAGATGTCAAAATCCAATAGTTAATACAGTGCTATTTACAAAATGGCTTTTTTAGCTTAAAGAAATGCTGCTGTAAACATGAGACTCAAACACATAATATATGAATAAAAGAAATACCTGATAGTCTGAGGTCATAATAAGTCCACCTGAGGTAGTGGTAGGAGGAACAACTCTCACTTTCTTCAGTGGGGGTCCCTGTGCATGACTGTTGTCCTGGTTCCCTGGATGACCAGTTCCATTAGTATGGTTATTGCCCTGCTGCTGCTGCTGGTTCTTCTCAATTGTTTAAACACAAAGAAAAATTTCAACTCAAAAGCAGTACGTGAAATAACATGAAAACAGGAAATAGTGTGAAAGTCGTCAAGCATGATGATACTGTTCTTCCAGTACTTACTTTGTCTCCTTTATCATCTGGTTCTTCTTCTGTTAAAAATTCTCGTTTTGGGTAAGGGATTTGACAACCTGCAAAAACACTGCCCCCCAAAAAAGTCTATTTATCACTGTATTAGAACAGACAGGTTAGACCTGTAAGATTCATACTTCACCCATGCTAGTTTCAAGTTGCCTGAGCCACAGACTAATACCTGTAACTAATGGAGAAGTTTTCTCCATTCTACTTTCATCATATTCTAAACTTAGTAAACTTATTCACATTTATCTTCAATCTTCAGTTGCCACTTAGACACTCCTTTAAACTCCTAACGTATTTCATGGTTTCTGGTAAACCAGTGACCAAACTGGTGGCTGGAAAGGTACCACCTACTAGATATCTGCAAGGGCACAAAAAGCTATCTTAATCCAGCCATTGTACAATTCACAGTCTCAGGACTAACTAAAAAATACTCCTGGAAAATCCACTGACTGTTAATGAAACCACATAGAAACAAAGTTCAAAAATAACCAGAAATTTCATCTGCCAATTCATACCGCATGGTTCACATGAACTTCGTAATACTAGTCCAAGCTAGTATTTACCTGCCCTCAATCAGTAAAATGTATTTACAATGAAGTCCCTGTACACCTGCTAACATTAGTCATTGTGTGTTCACATTAAAATGTCAGCCTGAAGTTGAGAAAAAAGCCAAACATTGTCCTAGAAGCAGTTTCCACAAAAGCAAATCATTCACGTGACAACATTAAATCAGAGAGACAGGTCAGAAGCTGTTATAAATAATCCAGGACATTTTAGTGAAATAACTTCATTTTTAATATTAACTGCTTATAAATATTCATATTTTATAAATTCTTCCCTAGATAATGGTAGAGAAACATGGACAGGATGCACTAATAGCTTTCCTAAAAAGGTGTAAAATTGTGCTCTCTGGTTAGTCTTTTGGGAGGTGGGTCTTAATTTTTAATGAAATAATTCATTGCCCATAGATTTCTTTCCTTTTGTAAATCTCCCTGTGCAAACAAAAAAGAGGAGAGGCTACAGAAAATGGATTTAAGTTGTTAAGGATGTCAGCACAGAGATACAGAGTTGACTTCCCCCACCCACTGAATTTAAAACAAAGGCTAAGACAGAAGAATGTAAACTAATTAGAGAGTGTCATCCGGCATTCTGGAGCAGAGAAGTGGACCTGCGGGCACTGAGCAGTTGTCTACAAAGATCTGTAGCATGCATAATCAACCTGCCAGTGAATAACAAGATTAGTGCTGCGACTAAGAGGATCAAAGATCCATAAAGCAAGAGATTAATAAGAATGCTACTTAATTTTAAAAACCACAAATAGCATTTTAGTGGTTATCGCTTTCTTTGGTTGTTACTAAGTATTCAGCTCGATATGTACAAACATTTATAGCAGAGAGAAAGCACTCAGTTCTAAAGCATCTCCGGATGCACTGACAGGTTAATAAATCAGCCACTTACTCGGATGTGGGAAGAGGATCTTCTAAGAAATAGGGATCCTGCATAGCCTGTTCTGAGGTAATTCTCTTTATTGGATCCATAGTGAGTAACTTCTGAAGCTGCACAAAAGAGAAGATAAAAAGCTCTGTATTACCAAAATGGTTGACAGAAAAGTTCATTTCACTGTGTTATTCCTGAAAGACAAGCTCATACAAATGCATCTGAACTCAAAACCCTAACCATAAATGGCACAGTCACATTCTTCTCTTGTGTTAAAACAGTGACTCCATTTCCAATTAAGAACACCTATTTTTACTTGCAAAGCTAGGACACTCAGTTCCAGTCACAAATGTTCTAACATAAAAACATTCCACAAGTTTCCAAAACGTACCAGCAGCTTTAATGGATGGTTCACTTCACACAAGATGTAACATGAACGTATTTAGCCTGGTTTCTTTAACTACACTTAATAGCAAGTATCATCATACCTTTCAAATTCAAGTAATTCTTAACAATTAATAAGCAAAAGTGACTCCGTTCCCATTATTGCTCATTATTTAGTATTGTTGTACAGTGGAGATGTACAGTGGAGATCTCCACTGTCAGCCACAGTGTTTTAAAGATGTTCTACGAAGTCATTCCTTAGAAAATCTTCATAATGTAAAAGAAAGTTATGGTCAACAGGTTCAAAAAGCCCACCTGGCCAGATAACTTCTGATCACCCACACAACCAGTGCGTGCTTATTTACCCTGACAAATACGGACTCTTGGACATGTCTGTGTGCTACACTCTACTCAAAAGAACAATTGTGCACACCGCTAATTTTAGTTGATTTTTTTTGCACAACATTATGCAAAATACTCTAGAGAAGTCTAATAAGTTGCTCCTCCAAGAGCACATCAAGTCTGAGCTCTGGTTCTGTTGCACTGTGAGTGTAAGCCCTCAGCCTTCACCTCTTGTAGTCAGATGGGGATCAGGCTCTTCTCCTGGGCAACCAGTGACAGGACGAGAGGACACAGCCTGGAACTGTGTCAGGGGAGGTTTAGGTTGGATCTCGGGAAGCACTTCCTCACGGAGAGGGTGCTCAGGCACTGGGATGCACTGCCCAGGGAAGTGGTGGAGTCGCCGTCCCTGGAGGTGTTCAAGGAGAGGCTGGATGTGGCACTTAGTGCCATGGTCTGGCTGATGGGGTGGTGTTGGGTCATAGGCTGGACTTGATGATTTCAGAGATCTTTTCCAGCCTCAACAGTTTTGTGATTCTCTGCAACAACTGATGAATCAGCTTGCAACTACATGAAAACAATTCTTCTAAAATGCCTATGCTGGTTAAAGGCAATGAAGACGACCACAACGCATGAATATGCAGAAGACAAGGTAAAATATAGTATTTTACAAAACAGCTGAACACAGTACATCTTGAAATGGTAAAGGCTATTAGAGCTCTTGCAACTGGCTCGTGTTACTACCCATTCAGAAACAAGCTGTGGATGCTGTAGGTAATAGGGTGTAATTGCTACGTGCTGTCCTTTCGTGGAAACTCAGCATGCTGCTTTTTAAATGCCATCCAGTACACAAATGTTGAGAGGAAAGGCAGCTGCAGTAAGTCAGTGTAATATATTGACTATAGCAATATATAGACCATAACATTTACATTAGCTGAATATTTGGCATGGAAGTACTAGTGTTGGAGGCAACAATCTCTGAAAGCCAGTACTTAAAAGATGCAGTCATATTACTTTTCTAGAAGTAGGTGATTTAATGTATTACCACACTAATAAAATGAAAGGAAACGTAGCGTTTTATTTGGGCATCAGTGGAAGAAGATGGAGCACTGTGTGTCAGGCTGTCAACGTGTTCAAGGCCAGGTTCGATGGAGCCTTGAGCAACCCGATCTAGTGAGAGATATCCCCACCAGGGCAGGGGGGTTGGAACTAGACGATCTTTCACATCTCTTTCGACCCAAATCATTATATGATTCTATGATCCTTTGCATAAGCACATCTTACTCTCGCTGGGAAGCATTGAGAGGGCTAGGAAGCACTTTATATATTTACTCAATGCATAACTTTAAAAAAACAACATAAAAGATGTTTCAGTAACAGGCATCAGAGCAAAAGTCCTAAGGTAACATACGCAGATAAAAAAAATTAAGAAAATAAAGCTGACCTAACCAAAGTGAAAAATTCGTGTAAGAGTTATAAACATTGCTATGTAGAGGGACACCCTATGGGAAATCCTTAGGATATATGGCCAGAAGGCCATCTTGAGTAACTCCAAATATCAGTAACAGTCTAAATTCAGCACAACATTAAAGATTGAAAGGTAAGTCTAAAAATTGTTTTTACAGTTTGCACTGCTTTTACTCTTCCACTGTCATTTTGTACCTATGTAAACATTTCAAAAGCTGCCTGGACTTTATACATTTATCACTGGCTTTGTTTTGTGGGGGTTTTTTTTGTGTTTCTGTGTTTTGTTTTTCTTTCTTCCAATAAAAAACATCATGCTGCCTTCATGGGTCTGAAAATTTTCCTACATTTTAGGAATAGCAGGAAAAAGTGATTTTATTTAACTGTAGCACTGAGATAGCAGTGATGTGTTCTAAAAGCAAGTGTTTATTACTCAATGTTTATTACATGTATATACTTCTCCCCATCCCCCCAGCAGTTATTTTGTGGATACAGCTGTACTGGACAAGCAACATCCATGGACAGAAGGAGCTCCAGGTACTACACCAAAAAAGGAAAACAGTGACTCTTCATGTTTCACCATGGAATACGGCACCCACGGCAAAACCACACCCTGATACATTGTCAATGACCTTTAAAAGAAATGCTGTTCTTTCACAGTCTAACAATGTTGGTTTTTAAATCACGGATTCTACAACACATGCAGGAACTACATAAGCAAATAATATTGATTTCACGTTTGCTGATCATGCTTTTCACTGGATCAAATTCACCTTTTTATATAAATATCCAGTGTCACAGTCTACGTCTGAAGTGATTGTCTCCTTTCACTACCTATTAAGCAAGCATACACAACGGTGATGCAGACCTCCACGGTGCAGACAGCTGAAGTTTGAAAGTGCCTTTTTTACTTCTCAGCTTTCAGTTTTAATGGCACGTTAAGAACACAGTCAGTATGTATTAGCAGCCTCAGTTCAGTTTTGTTTTTCACATCATCGACATAGACTCACAGTAAGTTACTGCAGCTCTCCGAGTCTGTGTGTAGTCTTTATAAACTATCAGTTTGAAGAGAATATTTCTTGTGTTTTTCAAAAGCTCAAAAAGCAATCCCAGGAGCCAGAAGAGATGAAGGCAAGAAATAAGAAAGAATTTGCAACACACTGAACAACATCACAATCAAAACATGTTGCAAAATTCTGGCACAATTTCTGGCAATTAGGTTATAAAGCTGTCCATCACATGCTGACAAGATGCGAACAAACTTGGTCATAAACAGCAACAGAAAACCACGTGAGAAGTTTAATGATTGTGCAACCATTATCACACAGGGGATCAAAACTCCTACTTGCTCCCTTGTTCAGGTGCCAGTAGAAAAGTGCTATTATTACAAATATGTTTTATTTTTAGGACTGTTCAATTAAAAGCTTGCCTGGCTGAGTGATGTAATAAAAACGCAGTAAACTATGTATCAGCAACAAATGTGACAATCACTGCAGGCAATACGGACCACTGTAACCAAAGGAAAGAAAGCATCACTCAGCCAGAAGCGGCAGCCATGTACCCATTTTCTAGGACATAAATAAGTATGAAAAAATAAAAATCAGAAAAGTGGAAAAAATAAGCTGTATAAGCAGGAAGAAGCCAAAGTTTTCTTGTGTAACACATCAGTTCTGCATGAATGTCAGTAAAGAAGGAAAAATCTGGTTAATTCAAAGTGGAAAATCATTTCATTTTTGGCAATGACAAGAAACTTTGGATTTATTAGTCCTGGAATTATTCATTCCAGCATATTTTACACTAGTAGACACAAACAGTTTATCTGTTCTGATGCAGAGAGTAAAAGGGCTGTGAGACTGCTTGTGCAAGAGTAAGATCTTGGAGTATCTATGGAAGAGCTGGTACCAAAAGATCTGCTGAACTTCTTCAGGCTGTGGTGGAGGGGGCAGCCTAAGGCATTCATCTGCACTTCAGCTTATCCTGAAAATGAACGCAAAGCTAAGGCACCTGCCAGCTTTGGCAGCCTCAAAACAGAGGTTTAAGATGTTACTTTGGAGAAGACCAGGGTTTTTAAAAGGGTTTTGATTTCCAGTGCATTGTTTGACAGACAGCAGCAAGTAGAAAACCGAGGGGATCCTAGCAGAACTCATTAGCGATAAACTTCACAGTACTCCTGTCATGGTCAAAAACAAGATGGCTATGTCTGCACCGCTGCTTTTTAGCTTGTGGGACACTGAAACCATCCAAATTGCACGAAGCACTCTCTCTTGCTACCAGTTTTGTTGAGGGGAAGGTGGGTAGAGGTCGAAACCCAGAGTGAGTGGGGGAGGCAGCAGCTGAGCAGCACGTTCAGTCAGGAGTCCATGCTCCAACTCACCTCCTGCTCCTCTTGTTGGGTACTAAATAGATATGACCAAGGATGGAGGGGTACTAGTGGCCTGGAAAAAGACCAATCTTTGATTCTGCATTTTAATGTAACCACTGCTTTTTGGGACAAGTACAAACAAGTTGAACAAAAATGCTGAATATATTCATTTACTATCCCATTGTAATACCGCAGGGAGAAGAGAAGACACCATGGTAAGTGTTTTAGGCTGCTTTCACGTGACTATTTTGTGTCAAATTTTGTTGTTCTATTGAAAACAATTTCTAAACTTTCAAGACTGAGAGGTCAGATGAGAAATTTCAGGCCAGTTTGGTCAGAGCACTTGTGTCTTGTAAGAGAAGCTAGTTCATTGAGAAAAAGTCTTTTTATGGACTGCCAAGATGTACAGCAAGGCTTGGGCTACTCACTTTTACCCGAGGTCAGTGTGAAGGCAGCAGACTGGAGAGCCGTGAGAAGGGAACAGTTGAGGAACCAAGTGAGGGGAAAAGCACATGACTTGAAGATGAAGTCACTGGCCATGTTATATAGGTTGTTGTATGGAAAAGGTTTTTACCTCAGATTGCCTGACTATGATGCAAAAAATCCCATGCGACTGATTTTAATAGGCAGAACTGAGTTTCTCAGCTATTCACCACTACTGGTTATTATCTGCTTTCAGATTTTGGAACAGCAACATAAAACTTAGTTTTGAGAACTTCAGACTCCAAATACATCTCAAGTCAAATTTGTAGGTGACAAGCAGCACGTTTTTTCTCAAAGAAGATCAAGTTAGAAAGGTGATGCACACAGTTGTATGTTATGGACCACTTGCCTAGAGTGCCTGATGAGAAAGATCTGCAAAAAATCACTCAATTTGCTTCATGTAAGAGTCCCAGGATGAGTTTTTATATCCAAAACTCATCCTCCGTAAAAAATTATATTCAACAGATACTTTATGTTCATTGTTTTTTGCTTGTTGAATTACTTAATATAATTTTCAGAAATACTATTTAGGCTTTGATAGGAATATGAGGTATTATCTACTTGCTTTGTTAAATATCTTTTTTAAAAGTCCATATTGTCATACTAAAACACAAGAACATCTTGTTGAATACTAAAAATACATTTCTGAAGCCTTGTTATAAATGGCTACATGGTCAAAACTAACTATGAGCACTTCAGTTCTTCACATAACAACGTAAAACTTTATATGCATTACATACAAATATAGAGACTGCCCAGCAACTTCCAGCTGTGCCTGGCTACAAAAATTCTCTACTAGAGAGGATCATCTCTACTACAGAGGGTCCAGTTTCCTTGCTTATGTAAACATCTCTAGCATTTAACCAACTTTGAACTTTAGAGAGCAGAGACATTTCACAGTAAATGATGCATAATGGTACAATCACCAGGTAACTTCTTGCAATGATTACTTGATTCAGTTGGTTATATTTTTTGTTTTAATCAGAACTTTGAATACACATTCTGTTTTAGACCAGCTGCAGTATAACCGTTCCGCTTGGAAATCTCCATTCAAGAATGCTCAAGCAGTATGCCAGAAGAATATTGCCTCAGAGCTGTTGTGACTGAAGGATAAATTCCAAAATTTGCATGGAGAAAAAAAGTACTGAAGAGAGAAAAAATGGCTCCTGAAAAACCCTTGGGTCTGATAATCTGAGAAGGCACAGCTTCCAATAACTTGGACAAAAGCCACATGGTCCTCAGACAGCCAAGTCTCTCAATCATCATTCCTTCGCTCCGATCTACTCCTCTCATCTCCAAGATCAAAATGCTTCCTGTGTTTTTCCCTCACTCCCACCCTCCATAACAACATATTTACCTTAAATATTTTCAGACTAGCAATATAATTTGAGTTGGAAACATCAAGTTAAGGAGAACGTCCATTCAGAGAGACTAGGTATACTTAAATTCTTTCCTCTCCATCTATATATAAAGTTTATTTCTCTAAAACACAGAAGGCCCAATATAATAACTTCTAAACCAACATAATCCAGGCACTTCCAGGGCTAAGAAAGTGCATAATCTTAACTGGAATCTTCATTTTAAAAAAACAGTTATACGCTCTGAAGAGAAAATCATTGTTTTAAGAATACAAGGAAGTTTTCAGAAGAAAGCTACAAAGGATTAGTGCACCAGGAAAACATACTAAAATATTCCAAACTACCTGTTCAAATATCAAGTGTTTTTCTTTGTTTTAAGACTCAAAGATATAATCTCCATAATGAATATGTAAAGAATTAGGCATTTAGGATTTTTTTTAGAAAATAAAAATAGGTTATTAAAAGTATGAAAACCAACAAAATGGCTAAGAGCTGCACCAACTCTGTAAATGTAATTACAAACTAACATGACTTAAAGACTGAAAACTTATGATATACTCAGTACAGAACCTAATCCAATGAATGACTCACAGAACCATTTTATCAATGTGGGAACTTAAAGTGGTTTCACAATTCTAAATTGCAGAGTATCAGTTATTCCTAACTACTTTATAAATATTATATCTTATTATTATTATATTTTATTTTATAAATAAAGGTAGTCACATTGCACTTGACATCAGCTCAACTCTCCCTTTGAACAACTTATATTAGCAGTTTGATTTTTTTATGCATGCAGGAACTTACCAAGTGGAATGCCTTACTATCTGGTTTAACTTTATGTTTTTCCATATATTTGATAAGGCTGCAGTTGGTATACCTAGAAAAGGAAAAAAATATGACATTTCTAATATGCAAATCTGATACAGCAAAGCCCTCTTACAAGCCATGAAACACTGGTAAGTCTCCATCGTAAAACTTTAAGCAGGGAAAATCCACAACTGCCAACACCAGAGATTGCTTAAAATAATTCAGATGCTACTGAAATGACCATTTCTGTCACATGCTTGTAAAAACACATAAAACGCATGCTTTTAACCCACATAAAGACACCAAACTACCTCTTGGATTTAAACTGCCTTTTAGCAATTTTACTACTACAGAACTTCATCCTGTGTATTTCTGACACCAGCAAACATGGAGACAAATACTGAGCCCATGGTAACACCCTCCTGCAATGTTCGGGTTGCTCCAAGAACATTCACGCCTTCACTTTTTTTGAAAAGGAGCTCAGGTTTCTGAATGGTTACAGTGGCATAGTGGCTCCAAGAAATGTGTGTAACAGGACAGCCTCAGCATGGAAACAAGGCAACAGGGCAGGGTCTGCAGTGCAGGTACTTGACTCCAGCAACGTGACGGCAGAACTGAAAGGTATTCTTTCTTTAGCCTTCATAAGCTACTCTAGACACCAAACCTGACACTTACACACGCTGTTTTCTGCTAATAGCGTAAGATTACCAGAACCCTTTTACGTAGCTCCCACAGAAAAATCACTTCCCGTACCTCACGTGTGGAAACAGGAATGACAACCTTCAGAGCCATCAGGGTCTGGCTGGCATCACCTGTGTCAACTCCCACCTCACCAGGTACAGCCTGACTCTGGCTACTCTTCACATCACCTCAACAGGCCAAGTTCACCGTAACGAAACAACTAACTTTATTTTTCTTTCTTTCACAATCTAAGTCACAATAATTTCCTAGTCCTGGTTTGGCACCTCTACAGAGAGTAAGCCAAGCTACAAGGAATTTAGGATAGGAGGAGGGAGAAGTAAAAAACGCTTTTCTTAAGAAAGCTCAACTCAGAGCAGACTTACGTATTTCTTCGGAAATCTTTCATTAAAGTTGAATGTTCGGGCATCTTTTTTATGTCTTCCCAATCTTTATCTGAAAAATCAGCATTTATTAATAATTTTTTTTATGCCCCTCCCCCCCAGTAAAACAAAGGCTTTCCAAGTATCTCCATAGTCCTGATTTCTTTTTAGTCTGCTCCTCTAACCTTGCAGTTACTTATTTCTTTGTACTCCTTGGCTCATATTCCTTCATCACCTCTCCACAATATGAACACCTAAAAGGTTTCAGTCGTGTGCTGATTAACTCAAGGACTTTAAAAAACCCATACAGCTGCCAGCTACAGTGACGATCACCATATGCTCAAAAAATAACACAGAATTAGAACAGATCAGCCACAGTGCTTTCACCCTTCAGGACCATTATTTAATTTATTTAGGCACAGTCATGATCTCAGGAGAGGAGTACACAAGACTCCTGCAAATGCTGTCTCCTTCTAAGAGATTTTCCATTCTGACAGCAGACTTAAATTACAGGAAAAAGCCCAGGGGTACTGGGTAAATTTGTGCTGCCTCATGGTAAAAGAAACACTGATAGCCAACAAAAGGTTAAGAAAAGGTAACATTTGCACACCCAAAGAATATTTAATCTCAACTTCTCTGCGTAGTCAAAGCCTGAAATGGATTTAAAAAATAAAACTTGAAAGTCACTACTAGCACTTTGCCTCAAATGTGTCACACTCTATAACTCATGAAAAGGTTCTGTGGGCAATTAGTCGAGTCAAATCTTTACTAAGTCTTATCACAACTGCAGAACACCGTGAGCTTACGAAAAAAAAAAAGGTGGGTAAATAAATCACAGATCAATTATTATTTATTTAAATAGAAGATGCTTCTCTTGTCCTACCCCCTATCCCAAAACACCTGTGAAACTGTTTCAAATATGACAAATGTTAATTAAAAAGCAAAAACTTTGCATCAGTTAAATGAAAAATAATTTCTTAAGAACCAAAGACCTTAAAATAATCAAATGCAGACGATTAGAAAGGAAAATTTAAATAAATCAGAAAACAATGAGAGTATCACCTATTATATAAGCTACACAAAGACAACGTAAACCCCAAACAAAATAAGCACAAGAAAAGGGTAAAAGTCTAGGCTAAAAGCAGAAAGGAACAGTATTTCTTAAAGAAGCAAAATTAAGAAGGATATTCAAGAAAACAGAAGTATTTAATAGGCAAAGGCAACATTTCCAGTAATCCCAGCAGTACAGAAGCGATGAAGTACACACGAGACAGCAAAAAACAGAAGGTCAAAGGGATAAGAGCTAATTTAATAACAAAATTCCAGAACCACACAAACACGAAGACCACAAAATTCATGTGACAGGAAAAAAAAGTCCACCAGAACAGTAAAGAAAAAGATTATTATAAGTGAATGGATAACAGCAAGGAACAGAAGCAGTGGGGAAAAAGATGACCAAAAAGTAAAAAATAAGGCCCTTGTTCTTCTGACACCTGCAATCATGTCAACGCTAGAAGCCAGAGCAGTAACTGAAAAGATGCACGACAGCCTATAGAAAAACCATGAATGACCAACACTGAGGGGAAAATGCAACAAGTGATATCCACATTGTAATTTGCATTGGTACATGGGTACATGCAACCAGTTCTTTGTCGTAGTTTGGAATAAAGCCATTTTCTTTATATCACAAGCCTTCTATGAGGGGACAAAAAAAAAGAAAAAAAAAAGACAAGGCAAATCCTCTCCTGCTGCCAAATGCTATGTCTAATTTAGCATGAGTTAAACATCTGCATTATATTCGCTAAATTTATAGATATTTTTCTTGCTTTCATACAATCATCAGTCGCTTTTCAAAACCGTAATTGGTACTGAAGAATTTGTTCTCATTACCCCGATCCACCATTAAATATGATCTTCTAAAAACATAAAAACATTGGTACATGTCTACACAAAGATAATCCTACCATTAATTATAGGAAAAATATCTAATATGACCATTAGATTCTAGACTTATAACTCATGAAGTAAAGATTGTCTTTGAACAGCTTTGTTGCTTTGATCAGCTGCCACCTTCATACGCAAAGAAAGCAATAGATATCTTTCTTTGAACAGCAGTGATGGCAAATAAAAAGTACAGCATGTACCTGCAGGAAATCCCATTACATTGAATATTCTGTCCAGCTGGTCATGGTGATAAGGATTACTAGTTTTGATATCTTCTTGTCGACAATGGAATATTGGCTCTGATGTCAGCAGCTCTGCAAATATACACCCTATGGCCCAAATATCTTTAAAAAAGGAGAATAGAAATAAAAAAAAAATTAATCTTTACAAAAGCATGTTAATGAGGTAGAATGTTACTTTTTAGTTTATCAGACATAAGGTCCCTGAACTGAAACATCTGAGTTTCTGTTGTAGAAGTGCAACACTTCCCCAACTTTTCCTTTTAGCTACAGAGAGAGGCATAAAATTTGGTAATGACACAGGAGCTCAGGGAGTATCATACAAGCGTGCAGGGTTTTTTTAAAGTGTAGTTACCATTTATTTTTGTAAAATGTTATTCTGATTACAAAAAAATCCAAAGGAAATTCTCTGGGTAACTGTCCACACATAAAACACAAATGGAAAGCCAACGAACATCTTGCCCATTCACTGGCATACTGCCTCTGCCAAGAAATGTTTTCCCTCTGATCAGTCATTGGGTTTAATAAGAATTAAATGACCCAAAAAATACAGGTTGAAAAGCAGTGCTACTGGAATAAGCCAATGCTATCTATAAAACCTCATGGAAAGAGTAACAAGAAAATCACTCCATGCCCACATGACTCACTCTGGTTTTTTTCCTAACATTCATTTAAAATAAACCCCAATCAAACAACCAAACCCTTTATGTTTTCACTCTGCAAAATTAGACCGTCTGAATCTTCCCAGTTGTTTTCTCGACTTTTTTCTAGTATATCCAAACACTACTTTAAACTTGAATAAAGTAATGCTACACTGAACCTTGAATGAACAAAAGGTCATAGACAATGACAAAAGCAAATGATGCAGAGAACATATCGCCGTTACTCAGTGTCTATACACAGTCAGCTTTTATCTGTGCTGAAAACAATTTACGTACTAAAGGCTATGACCATCCATGCAGTTTTACATGCTGCAAGCAGAGAAAAATGTCAGTAAAGTGAAGAAGCATGCAAACACAACAAAAGCAGTTTAAAGGAACATATGAAGAAATGTATTTAATCTACAGAAGAGATACAGTATTAACAGAAGAGTAAATGACAATACATTTAAGTCAAACATTAGAATTTCTGACAAACACACTGACACAATCTTCTAAAAAAAAGGCTAAGGTCTGAGGAAAATTTCAGGTTACAGAAAATAATGTGTATTTTGATATTTTATATCCACGTTTGTGCAAAGTAAGTCGAGTGTTGCAGGGGAAATTATTTCCCCAAAAACTGTCACCAGGCTTTAACACATCTTTTAAAACAGCCAGCAAGAGAAAAAACTTCCCAGTCTTCTTCTCTACAGTCTCTCTCTTCCCTGGCAAAGCTGTTCACATCTACAGAGGTGAAGCTCCCTCCAGTCTGCTACCAGGCTGTTCCCCCCATCCCCAACCACAGGCACGCCAAAGCTGTTAAAATTCAGACTGCTAAGTACAAATTCCGTGGTGAGGAGGACGCAGCATTAAGCTCATGTAACTAACGGCATCCTCACAGCATCTGCATTCTGCAGGGTTTGTTTTCTTTCTGGATGTGCCTGACGCAGAGTCATGACTGACCACATCTTGGTATTGCAAGCAATTCCTGTTCACCCTTGTGCTTTAAAAAGACACAGATAAAGGCTAAAATGTAGCTTATTTTTACAGTTTAGTTTCAGTGCAACCTATATACTCTCCACTCCTTGTTTCATGTACTTATTACAGTAGGTAAATACCTCTGCAATGAAATTCATGCGCCTCATCATCATCATAGTATTATAGATTCCACTAGTACTTCAAAGAAGCACCCATATTTTGTATTGCCTGTCACAGTATTTATGAAAGTCTTCTGAGAAAGCCATTAGATTGCATCACGAAGTATTTGGAGCCAAAACCCAGACACATTTCACTCCTATAGATGGCCAGAGACCTCAGTAAACTAAGCAACTTGTCAAAAATAACATTTCTCCAAGAAATCAGTAATGTACCTTTAACTCAGATACTGTCCTTTGTACTATTTATCAAGGCTTCAATATTTGGGGGCACTTTACATAAAGAACAGAATAGTAAGTTTTTGTCCAATTTACTTACCAATAGCTTTGGTATAATGCCTTGCTCCAAGAAGCAACTCTGGAGCTCGATACCAGAACGTTACAACTACAGGATCCAAGTCTGCTAAAGGCTTCAGAGGTGAATTAAATAGTCGGGCAAAGCCCATGTCAGCTGCAAAATTCAAAGAGATATGCTTTAAAATATGAGGATTATTACTTTTTCTTTTTAATCAAACTGATTGTGTTTACTTGATAGCGCTATCACCACTGCTAATGCAAACGTGGACTGTAGCAGGTATGAATTCTGTGAGAATATTCTCTTAAAGCTTTTGTAAAAGTTACTGGATGTCATGACCTACAAAATATATCATTATAAATCATTACTAACATTAGCCATTTAGAACAAAGAATTAACCATTGTTCTGAAAAAGCGCATCAACTCACTTCTCAGGACATTGGTAAATCCTGATTCATTTTACCCAGTATTTTCTGGTAAAATATTCCATTATTACCGGATGGTCTTTCAAGAAGAAACATTTTAAATATGAACAAAAGGCAGGTTCTGCAAAGGTTAGAATGATTTATAATACATACGTGCACATCAAAAAAACTTCCTCCACATGAAGTTAGCTGTAGCAAGATTTCCTTTACACAAAACCAGCAACTAAGCCTGCAGTGTCTGCCTCCCTGCTAATTTTCTGTCAAGACATATTTCCAGTATTGGGATGCTGTATTAAATACCATTTATGTTATTTTAAAATTCTGTTTGGGGGCATTATATCTTTAAAACTACTTTTTAGCGTTGGTAGTATACAACTGCCTAGAAAGCTATCTGAACTACCAAATACAAGCGATATAGAAAAAAATGGGCAGACTAAAATACGCAGCTTCTCCCACCAGATCCCTTTCCCAACCACCGCTCCCCAAATCCCAAGACAGAGGGACTCTGTGGTGCAGGGACATACGCATGCTGAGAAAGACCTGAATGAAATGAGACGAGTAGCTATTCCGAGGCAAAAGTGCCTACATGCTACAGCTCACTGGTTGAGGGAAAACTGCAGTGTAAATATGGGTCTCTAATGTGACTACACAACCTTTTTTTTTTTCATATGCATTCCTATTTATGATTGGTTTAATTCATTTAAAGAGTGAAACATTTTACAGTTTTCTATATTAAAATATCAATTACTCAAGATATGATAAAGTCACTAGTAACTATAAAAAATAAGGAAAATCATTGGCAGAAAGTGAATTCATGACTCAAAATGACACAAAAAGCCTATACAATTATTTTAAGTTAAATACCAGTTATGTATTTTTTAGAAAAATTAGTTACAGTGGAAAAGTGGAAGCCCTTGGTATGGGTATAACTTCTGCATTCTTTTCCTGCTGTGGTAATATCTTAAGAAAATAAGAAAAAAAAAAAATCTACATTTTGACAACACACTTAGAAATCCTGGGTCCCCCTCCCTCCTCCCCCACTGGGAATGGATGGCTCAGAGGACTGGTGGTCCGATACAGAATCTTTCACCTGTCCATTAACAGAGTCTGACTAAATTTAGTTGTGTTCTACGTTATTCCCAAATTCATTCAAGACTATAAATTAAGAAACAAATGGGTGGTCTATGTGCAATTATTTAGCAAGTAGTTGTGTACAGCAAGTATCACCACCACCGTTGAAAGTGAATGTGCCCAGAGGATGAACTACATTTTCAATTTTGGAAGCAACCGCTCTGCGAAGAGTAAGGCAGTAGGAAGGAATTTTTCTTTCTGATGTCCCGTTTTGTACAGAGAAGACCTCAAATCTCTACTGTTAACCTTAAACCTCGGAAGGGCATTAAAAACTTTCAGGGTAGGACTTGCAGAAGCGTTCAGCCCTGGCTCGTCTGCTCCTCGGATTTCCAAGGGCTCCCTTTCCAAGGGCTGGCGCAGCACTGAACGCTCCACGAAAACCCTACTCCGAATCGTTACACTAACGATATAGTTCAGATAAACAAAACAGTAAGAGTACAGAGCAACAATGCAGAAGAGTAATCTCCTAGAAGAAAGCCAGGGGGAAGTGAAAAAAAGAAAAAAAAAGAAAAAGAAAAGATTAACTAGCTTTTAAAAAACCCCAAGCCTTCCAAAGGGGGCTGTGTTACCGAAACAGATCTAGGTAGGCTGTGCCTGAGCAGTCTGCCAGCAGAGCACTGCCACGCTGGCACACAGCCTGGTGTAGCTTATTGCTGTTAGACTACAGTTAGTTTTTATTTATTTATTTACTTTAATTTAAAACAATTCAAGTCCTACAAATTATCCTCTCATTGTGAACAGTAACTCCCACCAGAAAAATGTTACAGTAGTGGGGAAAGCATTGGCTCCTTCCTACCCTGGCACACCCCGGGGTGAGCGTTTATAGCAGGATCTCTCACTAAGCATTTTGGCGGGATTGCTGTGATTTCTGGGCTTTTAAGATCCCTTGTGTTTATCTCCCCTTTCAAGAACATTTTGTAGGCTAAAATGCCACCTCCGATTCCATTATAACATTTAAGGTTTGTAGCAAGGAGTAGTTTCCTATTTAGGTTTTATAAGCAGCAGCAAGACAATGTCATGGCATTACAGGGGTAAATGGAGGAAATTTCAAAATCCCATTGCTCTCTCCTCCTTTCCCCTAGCTAGCTGTCATCTTTATCCCCATATCAAAATCCCCCGCCCCACACAAACACCCACTTAAACAAAATATAATAACATTTTCCACTTTTTATTGACGAGGCTACAGCATTTCATTGTCAGAACTGGTGCATGGGGCTAATATCAAGAAGCCAGTCACTCAGAAAACAGCATTTAGGCAATGTTCCCAGGCACATACCAGTATTACAGTGACTATTTTAGGTGGTACAACTGCACCTTCAGAACATTCTAACTTAAATGCTACACTGGGACTTATCAAAGATATACACATACCAATTTTTACTCTTCCTCGCTCAGGACCTTCACCCATAACTAAAATATTAGCAGGTTTCTGTGGAAAAAAAAATAAATATACAATACATATACCACGAAAAACCTAAACATTAGTCTCTGAAAAGTTAGTTAAGCTTTGTTTTGCCAGTTTTAAACCAACTTTGTTTTGACAAAAATGACAAGTTTCTCTGTCACCGTCAAGCTGTGCAAGGACGCAGACACAGGCTTTCCCTGACTGCATCTTCCTCACGTTTCTTCTCAGCGTTGCTGTGCTCCAGCACCAGGCTCCCTAGCTGACACCCCCCTTTCTGCCCTTGACCCCCACGAGCTGGCAGCTGCCGAGCTGCCAAGATTTCTACCAAAATTGCCCCAGATGCTTCTGGCAGGAGGCAGTCCCGTTGCTGCCCATCACCTGCAGCCTCAGCACAGGGATGGGAAGGAACCTCTACTATGTGTTTTGCCCAGGGTCATCAGGCCCATTTGCAGACACAATTTGCATTAAAAAAATAATAAAAATTATACCTGAGGTACAGATTAAACACGACCAAAACACTTTATACTAGAGAGAAAAATCATCTAAATTATTCCTATTTACTAGCATATACCAATTCAGACAGCTGCAACACTGGAAAGCATTGCCTTGGTATTATTTTTCTCTCCATCTTCCCTTTCTTTCTTTTACTAGAGAGGCGAGCTAAATACTTGAACTAGAGTTCAGCTGGTTAGAAACATAACCACTCACTTCTTAATCCTATATTTTCTGCCATTCTCCTTCTCATAATCCGGTCGTGGCATCTGCAGTCAGAGGATTCCTCAAACGCTAACACTGTTTATATAAATCAAATCTGCAGTGTTTATTTGGGGGCGGAAAGGGGGAAGAAATTCATGAAACTCACAACTAAAGCTGAAAATATATACTAGGCTTGTTTTGAAGTGGAGTGATTTAGATACACATTCATACCATAAATCCTGGACAAAACAGGGGCTCCTATTCAGTTGTGAACTGTAAAAATTATGATAAGGCTGAGCTACACCTCTCGCTTTGCTTTCCCAGTTTAAATTGATCTGAAGAAAAAAGCATGCCAGAGCAAGACAGTTTAGGTCACCAAAAAGTTAATACAATAAACCCTAATATCATAGTGTGATTTACCAAACACGCATTCTAGGAAATTCTCAGGACTTCCTGAATTCATCAGGCTCTGCTGTAAACACATTCAAAGAGACAAAAGACCATAATTTGATATCGATCTAAAAGTAATTCATGTCGGGTAAGATACAGTGCAAAAAAATAATAATCCATCAAAATACTTCTTTGAGAAATTTAATTACTACTGCTTATGAAAGGCTCCGACATGGATTTCTGAAACTGTAAAATCCACTTACAAAATATGTAAAAGGAATAGGAGATGTTGCATCTCTTCACTGAGAGCAGGTAAAAGACAGAAGAAAATGTTGTAACTTGACTGTGACCAAAAAGGGAAGATATGTCCCATTATCTTTCCAACAGCAATAACACCAGATCCAGCTTGGGCTGCATTAGCTCAGTGATACACAGAAGAACTTGTGTCCCACACCACCACTCCCTTTTGGGTTTTGCTTGTTTGGGGTTTTTTGTGTTTGGGTTTTGTTTTGTTTTTTAAATAAAGACATATGCTCCAGGTAATTACTGCTTCAACATTAAAGAAATGCTGTATATGGGCACACAGCTCACAGAGCATTCAACATTTCTGGAAAAGTCCTAGAAATAAACAAGCAGCATTAATCTTTAAACTCAGAGTTAATGTCGAGGTTTAAAGCAATACAAACTGCTAGGGAAGAAAGCACATTATTTCACCACATAAACCATTCTATTGCTACGCTGTGACTCAGAGAAAACATGTATATCTTTTACAAAAGCTGCTTCAATATGTCTGGGGTATTTAATATGCTATATGCCTAATAAATATTTTTCCAGTAGAGTTAACAATATATTACACAGGCACTACATTTTTTCAGGTAAATACTACATTGACCTAAAGTATAATTTCCCCCTTGCATTTTTGCAGGTTGGTAATACTCTACAAAAATGTTTGTAACATCCTCATGATGTTTAAAATATTTTACTGTTTGGATTTTGATAGGAACAAGTAGCCACGTTCACACAGACTCTACTACACCAGATGATTAATCAGCACAACACTGGGTAACTATTCCTGCCTCAAAGATCTTCTAGCCTAAGTTAAAGGTAGGTACAGATGAGAAGACAAAGCACAAAGAGATGACAGTACTGATCAGTAAAATAGGTAGCAACAGCTTGATTCACACTCAGATTTTTCTTCCTCTCAGGATTTACACAAAACATTTTAAAATACAGACAATTCAGAAATACGTGTAGGAGTCTTCTAAAGACACAGAATAAAAAAAATCCCTCTGTAGATCTGGAATAAACACTCACAGCAGTTCACCTCTTTCTAGAATTAAATGTCCTTCACTGAAACAGCTCAGAGGACTCTTACTACAGACAAAAATATTTACACAGTTACACAAAATTTTTACACCACATCACAAGTAAAGATTAAAAAAAATTAAATTTTACATCAGAGGTCTTATTCTGAAGGCTACCATTCTTAAAATCATTGCATTAGTAGCATGGGTCAGATATTCTTGTTCAGTATCTTTGACTCAAAGTCCACCATCTGAAGAAAAAAACAACTTCACAGATTTGTCTCTTTGGGCAATCTGTTACACATCAGAAATTTATTTGCAAAGAAAAATAAACAGAAGGAAGAAATCTGGACAAGCTTCAATTTTATTTGTTAAATTTCAGTTTAATTATCTAGAAAAAACTAAAATTTGAAGTGTTTATTCAAATCACTTGGGGCTGAGCAAGTAAAGAAAAAAATCCACCATTTTTATGTTGTGTACTTGAAAACAGCTATCTTTTTTTTATAGCTACAAATGATAAATTTTAAAAAGTCACTCATTTTTGTTCTAATAGAGGCATATTTACTTTTACCATCAAGTAAAATAATTTGCTCATGCCAGACAAATGCAAATGTAAAGCTGTTACGATCCTAACCCGAATGTGAAGAGCCATGCAGTGATGTGCAGCTGAATACTTCAGAGGCCAACAAAACAACTTTCTGACAATCCCACCAAACAAAATTTAAGAAAAAAATCACCCTTATTCCAACCCAACAACCCACTAGCAGGGGAATAATTCATTCTCATGGAAGAATAGCCTTGGGACCATGGCACAGCACTAAATATTTATCTTGTCCTAGATCTGGCTTTGTAGGACTCCTTGTGTGATTCCTAGACAAACCCGAACCTTGTGCATTTAATCACTATTACTGCTGAAGAGAGAACAAAGATCCTCACTGAAATATTCTTAAGCACTTCTAATCTGACCATTATTTGCAAACTGAAAAGAGAAATCCTAAGCAGTAGTCTAATTTCAAATAAAGGAGTGGAAAAAAACAGGGACTATAACAACAAGTTCATAGACCTACGACAAACTTCAGTCCGTCACCTTCCGCCACCTGCCTGACCTGACGCGTGACACTCTGTCCGCCCTGATCTCAAAGTCTCTGATGATGGAGGCTGCATAATTCCCCGGTGATCTAACTCTTTTGCAACGTTTTTCCTTTCCTTCTAACAAGGCAAATGAGGTTACTCCCATTGCCTCTTCTCTTACGCATCAGCAGAAAACCACTCCTTCGCTGTGAGGGCTTCTGATACCTCACAAGATCTACATCTCATTTCAGTTCTCTCACCTACATTAAAAGAACTCTCTTCCACTCAGTGTTTCCTAGTAGGTAGGGCTTTTTCTGGATGTATGATCATTCTTGTTCCTTCCCTCAAGCTGTTCTGCCTTGGGGCACCCGTTTCTTTGAACGCGAGTGCACAGAACTCTGCACTGCTCCTGCCGAGGCTTCGCTAATGCTAAATAAAGCAGAGGGACTGTTTTACGTGACTTGCACAGCATCTTTCACTCTATACAAGCCCAGTATGGTATCTTGTTTTGCCTCACTGTGTAAGGCTAATGATTCATGTTCAGGTTACAAGCCATGCATTTTCTTCACATCTTTTCTGCAGGAATATTACCGATGTTGAGCTTTATTTATTTATTTTTAATTGTTGTTCCATCTGAACAAACATTGCAGCCACATACTGCTTCTTCACATATGCTGAAAATGTTTGTGTTCATTCAGAGGGGGAAACTCAGACTTTACAACTTATTTTGTTTTCTATTTTGAAGATAAAAATGCAAACAACATGAAAATTACACCAATCTATGTCTTGATGAGATGTGATCGTATCAAAAAAAGACAGCATAACAGCAAGTTATTCATAGGAGTGGGAGATGATTACTTATTCTGTGTCTGCATACTAGATGTCTGGAAATCACAGGACACATTCTTGCTGCTGGGTCCTCCTCCTCCTTTCCACTAAGTTTTACTCATCAAATCACTGAGGAAAACAACGGCATTTTTGGACTGCTTAACCACTGCCATCTTAGTACTTTTAAGCATTAAACCAGGTCTGTGGGAACTCCAGGTATTTTTTGCTGTTAGGCTGTTTCTGAACTCATTAGTTTTCAAAGGTTAATTTTAAACATACCCATCAAAGGGTAACCAAAATTCCCATGAATTATCTGTGGTACTAAAATGTAAATGCACAAAAACTTATTAACTGTTTGCAGCAGTCCCATGTATTTCTTATTAACAGATTCACCCTCTTCATACTAAACCTTATTATAAGGTGCATTAAAACAGAGGTATCACCTTAACAAATTTTCATTTGTGTAATCCCATATTTAAAGAGTTTGGCTTATAAATCATTACTCAGTAGAGGGTTCACAGTGGTGGGGTGCATCGCACCAGTGACTTTTGTTAACCACTAATATTTGTGCATGGATAGTGGCTGTAAGACTTGTTTTCAGAACTGGTCATCTCACCCATTGTTACCTGTGATAAGCCAAAATAATTGTGAAAAAAGTATAACACTGGTTTTAATCTAAAGGCAATTTAACTTTAAAAGAACAATACTAAACAAACTGCTTTTATGCCTAAATTA